AAACAAATTCAAAAGTTTCTCTTTCATGGAGGCTAGATCAGCAGTATACCACTCTTGTTTGGATTTATTTTTGCTCTTACAACCATTTTTGTTTTTATTTTTTACAAGTACCGGTACTTTAAAATAATTTAAATTATTGTTTATAATGTTAAATATTGATTGAAATTTAGTTTCTGAATTCTCATTATTTAATTTAAAAATCAGCCCTTTCCAATCATAATGAAGCTAAGTTTAGACATAAATTATTTATATTCTTTGAAGGCAAATAAAAAGTCATCTGTGAGACATGGTCCAATATTTGATTATTGTTTCCTTTTAAACATTTCTGAGGTAGACACACACTGATTACCACCCCTTTATGATCAGAGTATGGAAAATCAAAAGTATTTATAATCTATACTATTATAAAAAAGAGGTGGTGTCTGTGTGTGTGTATGGGAAAAGTAAACGCGAAAACTACTGGTCGGATCGGGCTGAAATTTGGCATAATGATAGCTCACATTCCCGATTAACATATAGGCATATTTTTATCCCAAAAATCCTTCCGGGCTCCGCCCCAGTGGCTCTGGAGTTTCCCATGTTAACCTTATGAGAAATGAAATTATTGAATCTTAACAGCTGTTTCAATTAAACAAGTTGGTTCTGTTCTGTGATGTTCAATAGCATTAAAGTTACAAGGATTACCAACAGGGTGCAGCACTAGCACTATTATTTCTTTTACATTTATGACAACAGCAAAAGGCGAGTGAGCGTAGCGAACAAACTTCAACCTGGAGGCGAGTGAGCGTAGCGAACGAGCTAACCTGAAGGCAAGTGAGCGTAGCGAACGAGCTAATCTGAAGGAAAGTGAGCGCAGCGAACGATCTCCAACCTAAAGGTGAGTGAGCGTAGCGAACGAACTTCAAAAAGAACCGAAATTTCTTAAACCATGTCCTCACTCATAACTGCTATAAGCATTTGATACTTATATGCCAACCCCGTACGAAGGACGGGTACTCTGCTAGTCTCTAATAACAACAACAACTACAACTACAACTCTAATAATACATACTTCACTAATAGTTTCACCTACTCTAGTTATGTGGCTTCTTTCTGATAAATATGAACTGAACCACTTAAGAGGAATCCCTCTAATACCCAGGCCCGGGGGCGTAGTGCTGGCATAGTGGTTAGAGCGCGGGACTTCAGTCCCTGAGGTCCCGGGTTTGATTCCCGCCAAGTCACCAATGGATTTTATCTAAGTGATAATGCCGCAACCCCTAGGTCTAGCCTGAAGTAATGTGAAAAACAATCCCAAGCTCGTGCCTAGCGTCCTAGGACAAAAAAAAAAATACCCAGGCCCGGACTGGGACCATTTGGGGCCCTCAGCTACATGCTGTGAAGGGGCCCTCTACCGGTGGATTATGTTTTATTAGGTTCTTGTAAACAAGTTTTTTTTCTCACTATTTTGGCATTTATAAGAAGGAAGAAATTCAGCTAGGTATTTATAAAATATTTGGGTATTTACTTGGCCTATGATTTATTATTAAAACCAACTTTGTTATTTATTAAAATAAAAAAAAAAAACATTATTTTTTGGATACTACAACAATACAATAATACACATACTGTAGAAGTGTCAATAAGTGTTATAACGTAGTTCAAAGTGCAGTATTATTCACACCAAAGTTAATAAATTGTGTCAACATTATTTGTGTGTTAATAATAATCACAAAAAGATTTTAGGGATTTGAAAAATAATACTAAAAAGACAAAGACTGTACTAATCAGTAGGCCTACTTAACAAGAAGCAAAAATATTGAACTACAAATACACATAACATGAGTCATAACACATGGAATTTTCACAAACACTACACACACTTTCAATCAGCACTGTCTACAGGCTGAACATTTACTCACAAACGCATACACACATAGGCCAAAAATCGTGTAACGCAAGAACATTAGTTTGTACCATAGTTAAGATAAACCATCAATATATAACTAGATGGGCTAAACATACTTCCTAGACTGCTCATCCTTATGGATCAGCTGCAGAGGACAATTTTGCTGTTAGTTCTATCCGGTGTACTGTAGAGGTCGTGTTTTGTAACAATTTGTTTCTTGTTACTTCAGTTATTTAAAAACTCAATTAACCAAATAAAACGATCTAATTATAAACAATGACTCGTCCCCTAGTTATATAACTGAACAGTAAAGAAAAATCACAAAATTAGCCCTAAAATATTAGGAATAAAATTTCGTCGACACTAGTCATCAGTGTCACCAACATGAACTAGACACGAAAAAAGACCTTCACAATTTACAAAAGTCAATAAGCCCACTTTTGTTGGTTAGTGTATGGTTGTAATTACCAGTAATAACCAAGTTATATATTGTTGTTTAAATTCTAACCGCTTATATTTTGCCTTGCAGTAGGCCTTCTTAAAGAACACGATTAAATTATTCTGCTGAGTCTGACAAAATAGGCTACAGCTTTAGTTAGGCTTAGTAACCGAGGATTATTTTTACTAACTAAAATAATAAACTTTAAAAAATCTGGCTACAAATTTAATATGGGGATGGAATTTCTAGTTGCATTAATAGTCAAAGCTTTTATGTTCTTAATAAAAACATGAATTTAAAATAGAATTTTCTTTCCAATAGAGCATACTATACTATTAATGCCCTTAATATCACAATATGTTTATGCAGGCAAGACGATGCAGTAGATGGTTGACTGACATTGAATTCGGATTGTCCATGGTGCAATACTAGCTGTACTCTCTGAATTTTCTTGTGTTAGAAATTTTAACAGTTGGATTTATGTGCTAGCCGTGTTTTGTCTGTTAACGCAAGCATATAAGTAGCTGACCTTAATGTTACTGCTTTTTAGATGTGGTGGTGTAAAAAAAAAATGGAAATTCTATGGTCAAATTTTGTCAATCGATTTTCACATTCTAATTATTCCTATCCACTTATAGATATCGGTAGCGGCATTGACTGTTGACGATCAATATTATTCTCAATACAAATTCCAGCATCTTTTTCTTCTTTCCTGTCTTTTTGCGCTGTCTTTATGCTGAGTAATCAGCTGATCTGATAGAGCATCACTTTGCCGTTGTCTGCTAGCCACAACACAAGTCACCGCGCAGACTATGTATTACACTTCAACAACGTAACTCAACTAACAATAGGCTACAGTAGTAGGCTGTATGCCTTTATATAAACGGCAAGATACAAACAGTTGTTAAACACTGTTCTCTAGTTTGGAAAATGTTAACAAAACGTAACTATGAAATATGATAACTTATAACAAGCAACAACATTTATTGTAAATTTTAAGTGATAAGGGGTCCCTTCGGGGCCCCCTTGAGCCGGGGGCCCTCCGCGATCGCGGACCTAGCCAGTCCAGGCCTGCTAATACCTGCTTCATACATTCAAGACAATAAAATGGAGTGATCTACTGTGTCAAATGCCTTCATTACATCGACAAAGATACCTGCACAGCATTTACCTTGATTTATTCAATAATTCCATTATAAACCTGAGACATAAAATCTAACACAGCATTACTTGTGTTCATTTTACTTCTAAACCCGTACTGGTTTTTACTAAAGAAATTTATTTTATTCAGGAAGTTAATCAAACGTTCCTTTACAATCTTTTCTATTATTTTTGATAAGATAGAAAGTAAGGCTATAGGACGCAGTTAGTGGGGTTAGTGGGGTTAGTTTTATCGCCCTTTTTGTACAATGGCTTTAAAACAGCTCTTTTTAGAATATTGGGAAATTCACCCGTAGACATACTAAGATTTATTAAATGAACCAATACATTATCAATGCTGTCTAAGATGTTTTTAATGATAACAGGTGCTAACTCATCAAAACCTGGAACTTTTCTATCTTCTAATGCGCTTACTATATTTTTAATTTCATATGTATTTGTAGGAAAAAAAAGTATGGGTTTGTTTGAATAGGTTTGTGTTGTAAACGTGTTCGAAGTATTAATTCCATCAATATCTGAGACTATGTCGTCTCGAAGCTTATCTGCAATTGTAAGGAAGAAATCATTGAACATATTTGCAACTTCTGTTTGATCTTGAACCAAAACGTCATTTTCACGGCTAAGTATTCACGGCTAAGGACGCTGTTGCTGCCAGGATATTGCTGACGCTGGCAATGCGGACTCTACGTAGATCTTCAAATTGATCCTTTGACGTAATTACTTCTACCCTTGAATCCTCTTCAACACGCAGAAGGATTTTTCCGTTTTGAACCCATACATACTGCACAAGTCCATCCTTCTTTAATTGTCGTGCTGCGTTTAGGACTTGTCTCTTGGCCACGCTTAGCTGGACCGGTCACAAATCCAATGTCTTTCGTATTAAAGTTACGTTTAACACATCGTTCAGTCAACAGGTTTTCCTTTATCACTCGTCTGGTAAACTTGACCATGATCCCCCGTGATGTGTCACTGCCATCGCTATTTCGTTTTGGCCCTAAGCGATGACATGCATCGATATCATTATCAATTTATCTCTACACCCAGGCTACTGCCGAAAAATTGGCACAAAGATGTTTTAAAATTTCGCGGGCCAATCAGTCGGGGCCCGGCGAGGAAATGAGTGGATGTGCCGAGCCAGTCAGTGTTTTGTTCGTTTCCAATGTATAAACTCTACATATTTTTTCCAGAAAATACCAGAGTACAAGAATTTACCTTATCCTAGATCTGTATTTTTAATTCTGTAGGGCTAATTATGTGTCTATTAGGAATATCTGGATTATGTTTGAAAATCCGAACAAATCGGTAATTTGAACTACCTACAGTCCCCCAATTGGTTCGGATTTTTGACGCTCTACTGTATTTGTTGTTTAAATAAATCTTTTTGACAAAATCTATTCTTCCTAATTAATATGTTTTTTCTAGGAGTGTATTTAATGATTTAAAAATAATCCTAATTAAGCCTACAGTGAAGTTAAAGTATTTGCGTTTTTATTTTACTTGTTTTTGTTTCAGAATCATGCAAAAATACTAGTAAAAACATCTCAACAAAAAAAAAGAAAATAAAAGTAAGTAAATCAAATAAATTTTTGATCTTTACACACTTATTCATAACTTATAGACTTTTATAAGTTCATTCATTACTTATAGAGTTTTAGCTTTACTTTTCTCTGAGACTAAATACCCCCGCTGTAGCTAACCTGCAGACTAAGCAAATTTCCATTTACCTGGCTGGAATTCTGCAAAAAAATTCCCTGAAAATGGTCAGATTTTTTCCCTATTTACATAACATTAAAATTAGTACTTAAGTTTGCTAGGACAGGGAAGGTAGGTGTGTTTTTATTGAAATGTTGATAGCTTAGTACGAAATAAACAAAATTGCAAAATTTTATTAAAATATATCCATAAACAAGCAAACTACAACAGTTTAAACAGTTTATTTATTTCTTATTTTTCCATAAGAATAAAATAGGAATTTTAAATTAAAGTTTTTTACTATCTCCGTAACCGTTAGGCATACAACAACACTTCAATATACACATTTTTTCTTTTTTCAAGCTCTACAAAATGGTCTGGAAAGAAATGGTGAAAATTTATGTTTTTTGAGTCAAAAATGGCAAAAACCAAATTTTTACCCGATAAAACCTACCATAAATCCCATAGTCCGATCATGCTGGTTTGCGAACTCGTTCGAATAAATGTAGTTTTCCTCGTTTCTACCAAATTTCATCAAAATCGTACCATTTTTGCTCGAGTTATCGTGCTAACGGACACTTAGGCCTATATATGAATTTGAATGGAGGGTGTTTTTGGCCTCTGGGGACCTTAAAACGAAAAAGTAAATCGGTCCCGGGTCCAGGTCTTACCATGAGTACTACGCTTATTCCCTATATGGGAAATTCTCTAAAAGTAATTAACCTCTTAAAATATTGATTCAATTGTCTGTTAAAATTATTATAGCCACTGTACTCCAGGTAACGAAGAAAAAAATAGGGAAAATAATTTATGTTATAACAGGGTGTCCACCGACCGGGAAATCCGGAACTATCTGTCATTTTTATATTCCTAATTCCTACCAATAATATTTAAATCTGATATTCACATTATTTTTAAATAATGAGAGATGGACAATCCTAAATTTTGGAAAATATTTGGTAAAATATATTTTCAATAAACAAAATAGAATTTGATCTAATCCTTGGCAATTTCGCCGCATCGAAAGTAAAAATGATGCAGTTTTCGTGATCATGGAAGATATCCCCGGTATGGCAGGTGACAGGGGCGCACACAGACTTTTGATTTGGGGGGGGGGGGATTCTTAAGTATTTACTTTGCCGGGAAGTCTGGGTGGTATGGAATACCCCCCAGGGAGGGGGGTCCGGGGGCCTTCCGCCGGGAAACTTGAAAATTATACCTGTAAACTCATGTTTTAAGGCTATTTAGGTACAAATAAAAGAGATTTTTTGACTGTGGAGGAAAAAAAAATTTATTGTAAAAAAATATATTTTATGTCGGGGTGTTTAAACCCCTAAACCCCCCTGTATACGCCACTGCCTGTAATTAAAAGGAATGGATATTACATTGCTGTCAGATCATTTAGTAAGCTAAAACCAACTATCTGATTAATTTACAAGTGATTATGAGTTTTATACTAAAACAATATTGGTATTTAGAGAATAAATAATGCAATTATAATTTTGGCTGTGAAAATATAATTAGAACACATTAGATATAAGTTAAAGTTACAGATACAAAACAAAATCCAGACGTTTGGACAATCTTTTGAGAATAGAAACTACCTCCGTACCAGTGACTTCAATTTCTCTGTGAATATTCAAAGCTGCAAGTCCACTCAGTCTACAAACACAGCTTGACTTGACAACATCACATCAAACACTGTACTCAAATCCAAAATTCAACAATTGTCAACTACATTCACCACACAGAGAGAGCGCGTCAAGGTCAAGTGAGCATTGGAGCAACTAGTGGCACTAGTCTAGCCATGGTGTAGCCTAGCGCTGATCGCAAGCGGCAACTTGGCATTTGGCAACGGCACAAAGGCACTATCACTAAGAGGCAGGCGGTTGAAGGGAGAATGAGAACATGCAGTTGTGCTGTCTCTGTCTGTCTGCATAGGCCTAAAGATACTCATTACAAAACGCGTGCTCCTTGCTGTATATAGTTTAAATCGGGTTTTAAGAATAGTTTTAAAGTAATGATATTTAAAAAAATTAGTTAAAAATTTACGTATATATATACTGCTGATGTGATATTTTAAATACAAGAATGCTGCTGAAGATAAGCTATAAGTAGCTTGAAACATGTACAGCATGAACTAACTACATTTGACACCTTCTGGCAAAAGTAAGTAAAATCTTACCTACAGTAAAAATATCAAAGAGTTTTTTAAATTTTGACAAGTTAATCATATCTAAAGTAAATCAGTGTGTTAAAAATTGCTCAAATAAATAGCTTCAGTAACAACGCTACACACATAACCTAACTCCAGTCTATAGTCTTGCAGTCATATTCAGCTTAAAATACCCATTTAGATAGTATTTTTGTCATGTAAGTATGATCATGCAGTTAAGCTGTTACATTCTCAGTGATTCTTTTATTAATTATAACTGTTTTTATTTGATCTATGTAGGATAGCATCGTAATGGAGCCTGAGTATCTAGAAGTACAGCAGCCAAAGATTGTGACTTTAAATCTAAAAAAGGTTGGTACAAACTACCTAGAAAGTCGTATTGATGGAAAATGTTGGTTTCGGTTTATTGGTTGATGTGCAACAAGTTTGTTGAAATCGCAGATGATTTTGGACACTGAAGTAGTTAGACCAACAGATAACCAGTCTTTTACTGAAAGAATGCAGTTGAATGAACCTCTTATGTAGTGTGCTACCATTGAATGGTTTTATTTAGGTTTAAATACTGAAATAGTTAATGGGAACATAAAATTTGATAAAAGCTATTTTTTAATAAATTGACTTTTGATGTGTTAAAAAATTAAACAAATTTGACTAATTTTAGTAGCCAATAAAGGAATGTTTTAATTTAAATCAGATTACAGCATATATTCTCCGTGGTAGTGTGTCTATATTAAAAAGGTAAAACTTCTCATGTTTTACCATATCAATATAACACTTTTTGGCTTAGGCACTTGTCCTCAATTTTTTCACTAATTTCTTGATTTGAGGGTTGCAAAAGTTGCCCTAACATTTAGTTTTGCAATAGGGATGAATTATAATAATATAATACAGGGAAACTTGGATAATTCCACCAAAAACAAACAAAAAATTGACTGACCACAATATTTGTATTAGGTGAGTTTAGTATGGGCTTTAAAAGTAAAGCCACAATTAATTTTGATTGAACGAATTCATTGTGCACACCAGTCATCAGTCGAAATTGTCCTCAACTGTATCACTAATATTTTCAGCAAAAATGAAAGATTTGTAGGTTTTGTTTCAGTCTGAGGGTAAAATTTTTGCTTGATATTTACAATTTTGTCTTTTTACTTTTATTAGGCATCAGAGATTTGTGCTCAACAGTACGAGATGTGGAAGATCCATAAGTCAAACTTCAATCAGTTTTTGAAAACTGAACAAAGGACTTTGAATGTCTTGGTTAGGAAAAGAATTGATGGCCATGTGGTATGTTTTTTGGCATAATATGTTCAGGTTATAGTAATTTAAACTCTATGGAAACAGAACTGAAATGTACTCTTCTCATTCATCAAATGTATAAACTTGTGGGACTATGATTTAAAGTGGAACTTCTTTGCCTGTTTATAAAAACTTGGTTTTGCTGTAATATGTCCAGTAACAGTATTATGAAATTTAACTTTGAACTCATGACAAAAATAAACGGTATCAATATTCTGACACATACTTTCTCCCATAAGATTGTCAACAACCTTTATCATGTGTAAGCGGTGAGAGTAAATATATGGAAATGGAATTTAAAGGACTATAACATACTAAATTTTTATCAAAATCGTTCGGGCCATTTTTGGGAAAATCCGATTTTTCCGTTATTTTATGGGGTTTTTATGGGAAAATAATATAATTTACAATTACTTTTGAACCGTAATTTTTACACAAATGGGATTTGTACCATTTTGTTCTGTATATAAAGGACTATAACATACTAAATTTTTATCAAAATAGTTCAGGCAATTTTTGCGAAAATCCTATTTTTCTGTTATTTTATGGGGTTTTATGGGAAAATCCCCATTAAAAATCAAAATTTCTAAAAAATGAAAGAACTATCAAAATTGTAAGGACCATAACATACTAAGTTAAACAAAAACCAGATTTTTTTTTCTAAAATCCTATTTTTTCGTAATTTTAGGGGGTTTTTATGGGAAAATAACATAATTTACCATAATTTTTGAACTGTAATTTTTACAGAAATGGGATTTGTACCATTTTGTTCAGAATTTAAAGGGCTACAACATACAAAATTTTTATCAAAATCGTTCGGGTCATTTTTGAGAAAATCCGATTTTTCCGGGTTATTATGGGAAAATCCCCATTAAAAATCAAAGATACCATGGATTAGAACCTACATACCAAATTTCATCAAAATCGGACCACAGGTGTAGTCTCTAGCTCTGTACACATCCAGACACACAGACACACTCACACACACACACACACACAGACATCACTTTGAAAACCACTTTTTTGGGTCCAGGGGGTATTGATTTAGAGAATATTATTTATATAGATTGGGCAAAATATAAAATGACATACCATAATTTCCATAGTGTAAACAACAAAAATGTCTAGCATCGATGAATATGTAATCTTTATATCAATAAAATTGAGGGTAGATGAGCTATGTTATCATTAGAAGTTGTGATCACTCAAGCCAATCCTTACATTTTGAGTTTCATACTCAACCTTAAACTTTTATCTTCATTAGTAGTTTTAAATTACTACTTTTGTCTCTTAACCCTCTAGGGCATTGACAACCTCCAAATGTCACGAGTAATTAGGCAGAGTTTTACGTAAACCTCCATAATAACTTTCAATGAAGACCTAATCATATAAGTATATATATTTTCTTGAACTACACAAAATAGAATATCTTTAAATATAGTATAACACCCTTACCTTACAAGACTGAGTTCATACAGGGTTCAAATCCAGAAGATGTACAAATGTTGTTTCTATTTCTGAGTAACATGTGGTAAATCAAACATTAATAGACACTAAATAAAAAACTGTTATATACATTGTGTTCTAAATTAAATGAGGAAATGAAAATGTATTGTTATTTTTCCTACAGTTACCTAACAATGTACATGTTCTCTCACTGATTTGAGAAAGCAAAGTGGCCAATTCGCTCATCAGTGAGACAATGTTAACATTGTCTCATTCTAATTACTTTGTCTCACTCCAGATTTACAACATGAAGAGGCACGAAATAGTGCGCGCGTAACCTGCAGGCGTCGTATGCGCGCGAAATACGTTGGCAGCACTGACTGTAAATCAGCTGGTCAGCTGTTGTACTGTTGTATTTGTCACTTCACATTAAATGTTATATTAATAGTTCACTTCTGTGTAAAAATAGGTCATGTTTCTTCACCAATTTATTTGTTTTATGGTAACTGTAGGAAAAGTATAATGTGCAACTCGAGTTAAAAGTACAATTGCCTCACTCGAGAAACCATTCCTCACTCGCCTACGGCTCGTGAGCAAGGATTTCTCTCGAGTGAGTCAATTGCTCACTTTTCTCACTAGTTGCACAAATAACTATAGTGTTTATTTGAAAAATGATAGCTAAACTTTTTTAAAAACAAAGATATGAACACCAAACAGTGCAGCCATGACAAAAAGAAACAAGCAAAAAAAAAAAAAAAAAAAAAAAAAAACAAGGCAAAAGAAATAGTTTGTAAAACGGCCATTGTTATTGGTGTCATGAAGCCCAGAATCTGCTGAATACATTGGTATGCATTGTTACCGGGATTGCTTTGTTACTTGTGGCAAAAACGAAGTTTCCGTAATATGGCGATTGACCCTTCAAGGGTTAACTATGCCGTGAATGGTTTTCCGTTTATGTTGTCCTTAACACTTCTTTCCTTTAACATTGACTTTATGTGGTGTTTCAAAGAGACAGCTACAGCCTCATTTGAAAATATAGGCTTTTTGTTTGTAAGAAACCTATTTTACTGAATGGAGGATTTTAAAAGAATCTATAATGTAGATTTAAATTTGTTATATATGCCAAGGATTGTAAAAATTCACAACGTTGTGGTTTTAAACCCGGCTTATTGGTTATTTAAATGTGAAATCTTTAAAAATGTAGCTAGTTTATAGATATAACAAATAATAATTGTATTAAAGAAAATCATTGTAGTGAAATTTCTTATGTCAACATCAGACTTGTAATGTTAGTGGGTTAGTGGATGATTTATTACAAATTTTCAGTTCAAACAAGTTTTTTTCTAACCAGTTTCACTTCAAGAATAACGGAAATATGAGAGAGGATGTTTGCATTTCGTCCAAAGTAGAATTTCAGCCGGAGTTTGGAGCAACAATGATGACTGAGAGTGAACTGAATAGAGAGTACGTTGACCTGTACATGAGGCCTGCCAGCAAGCTTCTTAGAGGTATATCTATTTTTAATTACAATAATAATGGTTAACAAACCTATGTAAAATATTAATGATATAAATAATTGAATTAACTTTCAAGTTTTAATGTGAATTATTTATTGAGCATTTCTCAAGGACTATATACTGCGGGAGATATTTCTAAAGATTTTGCCGCAATTTTGGAGGGCAATGATTATATTTCCGCAAGAGATATATCCAGGAATTTGCTAGATCGGGGAAGACAGTGATGATGTCACTCTGACTGCCGGAGATGATCATGATATTACCGCTACCACAGAATATTATCATGATAAAATTGTGATCAATGCATACTACACCAATCTTAGGATTAAATAGTAAATTCAATATGGGTTTTATTGGTAACCATGCCAGGCAATAGGCATGCTTTAAACCTCACAATAATTTCAACTTGTGGTTTTGCGGTGAAATAATTACATATGTTACATAGATTGTAATCTAAACATTAAACTTTCTATTGAAACCTTTTAGCCATTGATGAAGTTGTGAAGAGGTGCTTGCATTTGAGTTTTTACTGTTGTAAAACTATTCCTAAAAATTATTTATTTAAAATTTTTAACTTATATTATTTGTGAAACATTTTCATAATTTTAAAATATTTACCTACATATCTTTTGACTTTACAACTTTTATTCCAAGTCTATTTCAAGTTTAAAATGTTTTTAGTTAATTATTGTTAGAATATTTATTTATTATGTGAATACTGTATTTAGTTGTGTAGCAAACATATTCTTGTACTGTGTTCACAAAAGTTTAGGCAGTTTTAGGGGAAGAAATATATCCCCTCAGCTGAATTTTTATTTCAGGATTAGTGTTGCCTACAGTATTATTTTGAGACTTCTGATTGGCTGAGGGAACATCATTACCGCGACGATACGTTTGATGCCATAGGCCTCGGTGGTGTAGTGGTTAGAGTTTAGAGTGTTGGGCTGTAGATTCGAAGGACCCGGGTTCAAATCCCTCCCGTAGCACTATTTTTTTGTATTGGATTTTTTTCATTATCAACAAGTTTGGTTAGGTTATGACGGTTTAATTTTATAATTAAAACATTATGAAATTGAATTTGACCCATTTATAGTTTTATTTTATGAACAGAAATATTTTTTTCTGTTAAACCTTTATTTGATTTTTCATTATAAGCAAGTCTGGTTAGTTTGGTTAGGTTATGATAGTTTAATTTTAGAATAAAAAAATTATAAAATAGGATTTGAGGCATTCATAATTTTATTTTATGAACAGAACTATTTTTTTCGATTAATAAACCTTCATTAGATTTTTTCATTGTCAGCACGTTTGGTTGGTTAGGTTAGGTTATGACGGTTTAATTTCATAATAAAAAAATATAAAATTGAATTTGAGGTATTTATAATTTTATTCTATGAACAAAAATAATTTTTCAATTACTTACTAAACCTTCGTTATAGTCAATCAGAAGCCTCTAAATGACACTGTTGGCAAAATTAATCCTGAAAAACAAATTGTGCATCCCCTCACCCCCACTTTAACCTACCTTTGAAATAATAGCTCAACAGCTGAGGTTTGCCAAAATGTAAATCACACGCACCATATATATTAAGTTAAAAAAAGTAGTGGGGGAACTTCCCCTCAAATCGCCTACATTTTCTGAACGGAAAATAGTCTTAACACAATACTTACTTTCAGAAAACATTACCTTTTGAAGAATGAAAATGATATGATATTTATTCTAGACTTAAGTTCCGTTTTTGTAATATCTTTATATACTGAAAAAAAATCTATAACATTTATAACATTGTACATACAACATTTTACATCAGAACACTACATTGCATTTTAAAATGAAGGTTTGTGAAGAATTAACTTATTATATGGCATGATATAAAAAAGCTTAGCTAAAAAAAAACAAAACAAAACTAAAGCTTGAGGCTCAAGCTTTTTCCACAAGCCAGGTTCAGGGTTGGCTAAGTAAAAAAATCCCTTGCTCGCACTGCTTCAGTTTATAACAAAAAATATCTTTTTTGATTATTAAATTTTAGTTAATAAAAATAAAAAATATTTGTTTTATTATAACAGGGGCCCGTTTCATAATAATCTACAAGTTAGAAGCTGTAACTTGTAATTTCCATTAGATTTGCATTGGGCAATCAGCTGATTTACTAATAATATAATATTAGTTTGTAGTTTATTATGAAACAGGCCTCAGGTTCTAGTTTCTAACAAAACGGTGAAATTTATAATATTTTTCCTACAGTTACCTAACAATGTACATGTTCTCTCACTGATTTGAGAAAGCAAAGTGGCCAATGAGACAATGTTAACATTGTCTCACTCCAGATTTGCAACGTGAAGGCACGAAATAGTGAGCGCGTAACATGCAGACAAATTCGTATGCGCGCGAAATACGTTGGCAGCACTGGCTGTAAATCAGCTGGTCAGCTGTTGTACTGTTGTATTTGTTACTTCACATTAAATGTCATATTAAAAGTTCACTTCTGTGTAAAAATATGTTACGTTTCTTTACCAATTTATTTGTTTTATGGTAACTGTAGGAAAAATATAATGTGCAACTCGAGTGCAAAGTGCAATTGCCTCACTCGAGAAACCATTCCTCACTCGCCTACGGCTCGTGAGTAAGTATTTCTCTCGAATCAATTGCTCCCTTTGCTCACTAGTTGCACAAATAACTATGGTCTTATTAATTTTTGCTTAAATAGTTAGTTTGAAGAAATTTGTTTAGTGGTTTTCAATTAAACTATTAATTAAGTTTTATTGATATTTCTTGAATTCATAGAGTTTGATAAGAACAGCGTATCAAAATGACAATAACATTTCGTTTTCTTTTTAACTTTAAATATCATGTAGCAAAACGTTTAAGCTCAACAAAATCCCATTAAAAATTATAAGATGTAGGTCCTACGAGTTCAGGTGTTAAGTTATAAATGTTAACAGGGAAAAAGATTGAAGCTATACTAACTTTTTGTCATTTAATTAATTTATTTAATGTTTTAATTACATTTTCTAACAAATTCAATAAAACTCAAAAACTCTGGTTGTCACAAGGATTATTCTACACCCATTTGTTTACTGTTAAATGTTTTCAGAAAACCAACAACACCCATCTAGTTATATCGACAACAGCTAGTATATATGAACCCAATAAAGTTTAAATACTAACACATTTTTTACTACAGTTCGCACAATTGGACACACAAAAGAATTAATGTTGGCTGAAGTGAAAACAATCGCTGACATTACGGCTGCGCTGCAACCACATGTGAAGAACATGCAGAAGCTGTTTGATCCTCTTTACTCTGTACTGACTAATCTTGTGGACCTACCACCGGGCCGATATATGCTACACCACACCCCCAAGATGGAGGTGTTTGCTAGTCTGCTCAAGGAAGGATCTGGGTAAGTCCTGTTAATACCATCCCTATTGTGTAGACATCCTTCTTGTGCTCAATTCTGGATCCAGATGCTATTTGTGCTACATAACAAAAAGGGAGATAGGACCATTCTCTTACAAAGCTACTAAAATGGCAATGGCCTAAAAACACTCAGGTACAAGGGTTACCCAAAATGTAACCTAGATTTTTAAGTATTGGGAGTAACACCGCATTCTTGACATCAATAGTAGATCAGTAAGCTTCTAAGTGTGCTAGGGGAACTTACACATTCACTCTTTGTTAACACCGAGTACCCAAAATTCATCAGGGATATTAGTTAAGGTACATAGTAAAGTGTAGTTTAGAGATGTGTGTAATACAATTTATGAGCGGTGAGAAGGTAGGCATATCCTACACACAAGAATCATATACAGTAGAACCTCAATTATCCAGGGTTTTGGGGGGGGGGGAGGGAGGCCATGGATAACTAAAACCACGGTTAATCCAACGTGACATAAAAAACCTGTAAAAATTGTAAAAGCCTAAAAATGAATGCTAATGTGATAATTTTTATATTACATTATCAAAATAAAATTAGTAGGCTATTGCGCAATCATATGTTAAGTCATTAACCTTGGTTCAGTAGTAATAACAACTGTAACTTTTAAAATCACAGCTTACACAAACTATTACTGAAATAATTTATTTTTGTAAAAAAATACAACCGACTTCAAACGCTCTAAAAAGAATGAAATAATTTCAATAAAGTAAACTTTTGTATTAGTCAAGCTCACGTATTTTAAGTCGGCACGGCTCTATGATGATTTTTGATGCAAAATTGAAAGAGGATGTCTTTTATTATTTTTCGAGCAATTCGTCGTGCAGGGACCAGGGACCCCATACCCTGACACCCGCACAGTTTAGTGTTCGAAATCGATCACTTCGTCGTTTCTATTTGATTTTCGAGCAGTTCGTCGTGCAGGGACCAGGGACACCATACCCTGACACCCGCATAGCTAGGATCGAAATCGATCACTTCGTCGTTCTTTATTCGGTTTCGAGCAAGTCGTTGTGCTGGGACCAGGGACAACATACCCTGACACCCGCATGGTTTAAGATCGAAATCGATCACTTCGTTGTCTTTTATTATTTTTCGAGCAATTCGTCGTGCAGGGACCAGGGACCCCATACCCTGACACCCGCACAGTTTAGGGATCGAAATCGATCACTTCGTCGTTTCTATTTGTTTTTCGAGCAGTTCGTCGTGCAGGGACCAGGGACACCACCATACCCTGACACCCGCATAGTTTAAGATCGAAATCGATCACTTCGTTGTCTTTTATTATTTTTCGAGCAATTCGTCGTGCAGGGACCAGGGACCCCATACCCTGACACCCGCACAGTTTAGTGTTCGAAATCGATCACTTTGTCGTTCTATTTGTTTTTCGAGCAGTTCGTCGTGCAGGGACCAGGGACACCATACCCTGACACCCGCATAGCTTAAGATCGAAATCGATCACTTCGTTGTCTTTTATTATTTTTCGAGCAATTCGTCGTGCAGGGACCAGGGACCCCATACCCTGACACCCGCACAGTTTAGTGTTCGAAATCGATCACTTTGTCGTTCTATTTGTTTTTCGAGCAATTCGTCGTGCAGGGACCAGGGACCCCATACCCTGACGCCTGCACAATTTAGCGTTCGAAATCGATCACTTCGTCGTTCTTTATCCGTTTTCGAGCAAGGCGTCGTGCTGGGACCAGGGACACCATACCCTGACACCCGCACAGTTTAGTGTTCGAAATCGATCACTTCGTCGTTTCTATTCGTTTTCGAGCAAGTCGTCGTGCCGGGACCAGGGACGCCATACCCTGACTCCCGCACAGTTTAGCGTTCGAAATCGATCACTTCATCGTTCTTTATCCGTTTTCGAGCAAGTCGTCGTGCTGGGACCAGGGACACTATACCCTGACACCCGCACAGTTTAGTGTTCGAAATCGATCACTTTGTCGTTTCCATTCGTTTTCGAGCAAGTCGTCGTGCTGGGACCAGGGACACTATACCCTGACACTCGCACAGTTTAGCGTTCGAAATCGATCACTTCGTCGTTTCTATTTGTTTTTCGAGCAAGTCGGCGTGCTGGGACCAGGGACACCATACCCTGACACCCGCACAGTTTAGTGTTCGAAATCTATCACTTCGTCGTTTCTATTCGTTTTCGAGCAAATCGTCGTACTGGGACCAGGGACACTATACCTTGACACCCGCACAGTTTAGGGTCGAAATAGATCACTTCGTCGTTTTTATTCGTTTCCGAGCGAGTCGTTGTGCTGGGACCAGGGACCCCATACCCTGACACCCGCATGCTGCCCCGTCGGAACAGATTGCGCTTTTCGAGGAAGTTTCGCCTTTCTATTAGATTCGACAGACCCTCAGGAGTGGCGGTGATGAGGCGTTGAAGACAGAACTGAGTGTTCTATGGTCTAAGAATAACGACCTGAGCCATCTCCTGACAAGGGTTAACTTCGCCGATGCTGACCCGGGTTTTAGGATTTTGTGGGTAAAACAGTTGACCCCTGGAAAATACCCGGCTGCTGAACTATTTTTGGGCATTTGAATTCAATTTTCGGCAACCACCCTAAAACACCGATCACAATAATATTCACTATTGTCTTTGCTGTAGACCGGGCGTCGCAAATATGTGACATTATAAAAGGTTATAAAAAATACAAAAAAACAAGAATAATTTATTTACAAACACGATTGTAGCGTATTACAATGTAAATGATCACTGTTTTACAGGTTTTCGCCTGTGGTCTGTGTGTACTGTTATGCAAGTGACAGCCGGTCTATGTGTAAGATTCAAATGTATACCTCGGTCTGTGGCAATGACCGCGGCGTCACTCAGTGGGAACATGTTAATCTGCATGTATTTTTCATAGTTATGCGTTGGGTGTTATTTTATTACCGTAATCAAAGATCGGCATTATAGTGGTATTAACGAGCATCTTTAAAAAGATTATAATGCATGGAAAAGTAACGTTTTAATATTAAACTAGCTTCTTTTCCCTATCATAATATCAAACTAAATTATTTTCCTATTCATATAAAACATTAGTGTGTGTTATTTTCATAATGCATTCATTCTGAAGTAAACATTAAATACAAGAAAAAACTTCCTTTGATATATAAACAAAACAGTTCAGTATGTTTTTTATATATTTATGTTATCCAGCTACAATTTATTGATTTTCAAAATACACACACAATATTTTATTTTAATAATATTTGCAGTTAGAGCCACACCGACTTGAAATACGCGAGCTTGACTAATACAAAATTATTGAAATTATTTCATTCTTTCTAGAGCGCTTGAAGTCGGTTGTATTTTTTTACAAAAATAAATTATTTCATGATTTTTAGTGATTGTATAGTTTGTTATATACTAATTACGTGAGGTTTTTTGATAAGCAAAACTGTTTGAAACAATCAAAAGTGCCACAGAACAATCAGTATTTTAAAACTGCTTGAGTCAACTGTTCAGGTTACAAAATCAATGGGTATAAAAATAAACATTTTTAGATATTCCCTAAAAAACAAAGAGTTGTCCATTACATTAGGCCTAATGAAAAACTAATTGTCTTTTCTAGAGACATTGAAATGTCAGACATCATCGTTTCCTGCAATCGGTGTACTTCTGCATTATAAATAGAAATACAGTAATGTCTCAAGCCTTTTGGAACAATATGAGAGTTATTCGTCAGCTACCAGCACTAAAAAATATCTCAAAAGTAGAAAATTGGTTGTTATCACGTATAGTACCTTTGGAAAATATGTATATGAAAGATTGGTCCAGCTAAAAGTGGTGTAAGCCGGGTAGGGGTTTTGTTTGCTCAAGATATAGCCTAGTCGAAATTGCAAATCATCTTCCTATAGGACTTTCCAAAGCAGGCATAATAGTACTGATATGTTATAGTAACTGGGTAGAGAATATTAATAATCATTCCTGTAGTGTTATCGCAAGTTAAATTAAAATATAGTTCAATAAGACAAATACTTTATTAGGTAGTTTTTACAATAAAATCAAGATCCAAAATGTTTACCAACAAAAACTAAACAAATAATATTCTAACACCATATGTTAATAAACACATATGAATAACAACACATCTCCCCTTTAAAGATCGAACCTCCGGGTAGGTTTGAATTGTCTTGTTGATCTTCTTAGATTCGCTAAAGGTTTTGTCTGCGATTTCCTTGCAGGATGATCGAAAGGTTCTGATCTTCTGAGGTGTTCTGAAGGACTGGTCTGCAGTGCTGGTTGAGAGTGGTCTGAAGGCATAGTAGAGCTAAGATACCGCATGAAAGCGCAAGAAACGGGTTTTCCATTTAGACCAGTTTTCTCCTTTAAAATCAAAATGTTCTGGGGAAGGAACACTAAAACCTTTCATCTTTATGTACTGTATTGCTAAAACAATAAAAAACCCGCTGCCACCATGTAGTGTTATCGCAAGTTAAATTAAAATATAGTTCAATAAGACAAATACTTTATTAGGTAGTTTTTACAATAAAATCAAGATCCAGAATGTTTACCAACAAAAACTAAACAAATAATATTCTAACACCATATGTTAATAAACACATATGAATAACAACACAATTCCACATCTGCATATAAATGTTTAGTAATTAAAATATTTAACACAATTTTAAGACGATTGACGATTATGCGCTCTCACACTTCTTAGATCGTGTAAGGAATAATTGCATTTAATTTATATTTAGACCTCTTTTATGAATGCTTTGGTTTTCACAATACACCTTTATTTGTCAATATCATACAGCTATTCACTAAAACATATATGTTTTTATAAGTCAGAATATTCAATACTAAAAACAGAATAACTGTATACACAAATCAGGTCAAATGTTAAAATACCTACCTTTTTTATAGTAACCAAAACAAAATGAATTTTTTTTTCAATGTAATTTATTTAGGCTCCATGGCAAGAAAAAGTTTATTAATCAATATGAAGCAACTGTTTCATGAAGAATTGTCTGTAGCTTCATTTAAATGGTTTCAACTAACAGCTGTAGGAATGTTACTATTATTTATTGCCTTCTCTGCACAAATATAAACAAAACAAATGTTAATTATTTGTGGTTTTCAGCATTTTTCACCGAAACACATACATTTAAACATAGTATATATATATGGGACCAAATAAAAACTCTCCTGGTTATTTTGGTGGTGGAACCACACTGATCGGTAAAAGAATCACAGATAAATTGGTGAACATCAACATACATAGAAAAAAAATACCCCCGCCGCAGCAAACCTGCCGACTAAGCGAATTTCCATTTGTCTGAATTGATTTTCAGTTAAATATATTTTAATAACATTAGGTTTAACGAGTACCTAGGTTTGCTGCTACAAGGAAACTAATAAAGTGTGTTTTTGAGTAAAATATTGATAGCTTAGTACAAAATAAATAAATTTGCTAAGTTTGATCAAAATATATCCATAAACAAGCAAACTACAACATTTGACAATATTCTCCATAAGAATAACATGGGAATTTTAAATTTACAATTTTTTAAATTTTCTCCGTTACCAATATTTGAACAAAAATACTTTTATATACTAAATTATTTGTTTTTTTAAGCTCTTTAAAAAGGTCTAAAGAGAAATTGGGAAATTTTGTGTTTTGAGGGTCAAAAGTGAGAAAAACCAATTTTTACCCCATAAAACCCCCCGTAAAGTCCCATTCCCATGGTCCGATCGTGCTGGTTCGCGAACTCATTCAAGTTTATCCCGCTTTACACCTTTAAACCAAATTTCATCAAAATCGGACAAAAATTACTCAAGTTATCGCGTTCACGGACGTATATATATATATAAGTCTATATATATACATATATAAAAATTTGAACGAATAGTGTTTTTGGCCTCTGGGGACATAAAAATGAAAAAGTAAATCGGTCCCGGGTCTAGGTCTTACCGTGCCACCTAGGGTAATAGCTACTTCCCTATAGGGAAATTCGCTAAAACATTGCCACAAACAAATTGAGAACCTCCTCCTTTTGTTGGTAGTGGGGAATTCGGTTAACAAAATAATTCCAAATACTGTACAGCAATAAATCACGTAAAGGACAGATAACCAGAAAGTCTAGTTCCTACTGCTAGTCTGTCTGTCCAGCATGCTGTTTATGCTGTTTCAGGGCAGAAAACATCAGATAACTCATAAACAAATATAAAATCATAGTACTTAGCAATAATAATAACAGTCTTAAAATAAGATAAAGAAAGATAACAATGACATAAAACATTGCTTTCTTTATCTATGTTCTTCTATTCTGTCTTGAGATACTATTCATACACACAACATTCAACAAGTTCTCATGGTTACTAATCACCCAATCACAGGCTACTAAAGTTGTCATGATTACTGATTGCACAATCACAAACTGTTGTGGCATTGCAATTGCACAGCAGCCAGATATGTAAGGAGCAGCCGATTGTCAGTAAAAACGGATAGCTTGACCTTGAAGCTATCAATCTTCTTTGTCTTGCTTCCATTTTATTTTTGTCAAATGAACTGTGATGTTTCAAAAACAATAATGTGGGAGCCTACTTCATATAAGTAATTGGCAGAATAGTTAAATAAACAATGCATTCCAACACATAAGTCAAACGATACATATTTTATAAAACTTTCTTGGACAATGCATTGTGCAAAATGCAAACCGTATGCTGAAGGTCTAATACAACTTTCCGAGATTTAGACCCACAGAAACTCACATTTTATAAACATTTTATTAGATAATTTAGGTTGTGTACCCAAGGTATAAATCCCGGAAGGTCTAAAAGTACAGTACAGTAAATGAAGAAAACTTATCCACTGTTCCTGTTTTAGACAACAGGGACAGTGGATAAGTTTTCTTTATTGACTGTACTCTTAGACCCTCCGGTATTTAGACTTTCTGCTACTGCCCGTTTAGACCCTCAGCAACAAGTACAAAATGCAAATTGTATGCCAAAGTTCTAATTAGACCTCCTGGGATTTAGACCTTCAGCAACAATCCCAAACAAACTTAATTAATAGTGGTTTGTAAACAGAAGAATCATGAAAATACAAGTAGTCGATTCAGAATCTTTGGATGAAAAAGATTGATTGTATGCATGAGTGCATTTCACTTGGGGTAAACATTATAGTAGACACTGTAGAGCTGCAACTGTTTAGGGCCTTTGAGGGTTATATCCACATTCCTGCACATTGTGCAAGGGTTTTATGTTACTTTAAGATATTAAAAAAAACTCTCCAATAAAGATATGGGAGATATGACAGTACTATTTGAAAATTAGGTTTAATAAACCCTACTTATGCATGTAAACTTATATGAAAGGAGATAGAGTGGGAATTATTTTCTGGCCAAAGTATTATGTATGTAGTTTCAGAGTGAGCAGTTCAAAGCTCCTGGTAGAAGGAAAGTTAATGTTGTAAATGAAGAAGTTCTCTCTTAGTTAACTTAAGGGGTCGAATAACTTAAAATTTTGTGAGCAAACCACGACGGGATAGCCTGGTTATTGATAATTTTGTATTCACTATGCATTGCTATTAAAACATACTTTACAAGTCTTTGACTTTCTAATGTGGTAGTGGTACCGTAACCCCTAACCTTAAAATCTAAGACGCCTACGTGTTATACAAGATTCTCGGTAACTGAGGTAGCCTTGGTCCCAACAACCTCGGTTAATCGGGAGTGTACTGTATAGAGAATTGTCTCATATAACTTTGTTATAAGTTAAATTTGGGGAATTACGGGGAAAAATGTTAAATTTAATAACATTTAAGCATGTTTTTATCTCTGTGCCCTGTGGCAACTGATGCATCCTCCTCTGAAACTACACCACTGTTATTTTGGCCTTGGGTACTTGAGTATTAAACGGAGGCCACCATTACGAAACGCGCCGCGGCACTTATAGAGGGCTAAATTGTTATAGATGTTGTAGTAGAACTATTCTAGTATTGTTGTGAGTCGAGTGTTATCAGATGAGTCATGTGTCTACTCGCAGAATCCCCTCCAAGTAGGCCAAGGTCAGGGTCGTTGACCGGAGCGCGCGCCATTACCTGTCATCGCCTGTCACTGTGTCTGGTCAGCTATATCAGTTATAAAATTAAACTATCATAACCTAACCTAACCAACCTTGCTGATAGTGAAAACATCGAATGAAGGTTTACTAATAATCAGTATTATCATAGCTAAGTTAAGAAACTGTAGGTTAGGTGGCCTCCGTTTAATACTCAAGTACCTGGCCTTGTAACTCACAGCAGTAATGTAGCTTATCCTACCAAACTTGAAATGTTCTCAAAATTTGAAAAATGTGTAAAAAGAACATATAACAAAAGAATCGTGTGCTGCAACTCTTAGAAAATTTAAATTGACTGAAATGTTCTTATAGTGCCAAAATTAGAAAAATGTGTAAAGAGATCAAATAAAAGATGTGCACAACAACTTTTAGAAGACTTAAATAGACAAAACATTGCAGTGGTAATCTTTTGTTTTAAAATTTGTAATACAAACCTTGGACTGTCTTATATTAATTTCTCTTTTGCAGAGTGTCACAGTTCAGCCTGGAACAGTATTGCAGTGAGTTGGACAGTGCAGAAGTCAATGCTCCAGCAATACCTATAGATCCTGTGGTACTGACTCCCTTACACTACAGGGACCAAGTCGCTCCAGCTCTCTTTACTCCTGCCAAATTTTACAAAAAACCAGGTAACTTGATGACAGTTCCAACTTGATATTTGTTTCTGTTAAAAAAAATATTGCTTTTGTAATTTATATTTACATTTAGTGTAAAGAATTTTGCAAGATTTTAAGCTGCCTTAAATTCACTAATTATTACTCTAGCTTACTTTTTAACTCTTCACAGCTAAACCATTTACACTACAGCTAAACACAACTCAGCTAAACATTTTTGATCCAAGCCAAAACATTGTAGGCTACTAGCTGAAAACTTCAGGATTTTTAAGTAATTTTTGTAAGCGTTTGGTAGAATTTGTTTATCTTTTTTGTCTGAACAGTTAGAGGCATATTTATTTTTTCCTTTTGTTCTCTATGCAATTATACATAAAAATAACCAATGCCAAATAAAAATAAAAATTAGCTTTTTCATTACTAATACATTTTATTTTTTATTTTTCTAAAGTATTATGTTTGAACAACTAAAAACATTATGGGTATGCGTATACTGTTGTCATTTTCAAATTCCCTACTTTGCTCTCAACCAAACCCAAAAAGAACAAGTTTCAAGCACCTTGGAAAATGAAGAAGTTTTAGGCAAATTTGAAAATATTGGCAAAAAAGACTCCTTTATTGAGAAAAGACGGTTTCCATATGTCTGTAATCCAAATCATAACATTTTAAAACAATTTATCTTTAAAACAAACTATTTTATTGTAAAAGTAAGGTTCTCCCATAAACTATTTAAAAAATTAAAAATAGGTTTTTGTGTAGGGTTTTTAAGTCCTTATTTTTGTTGATTCCTCATAGTGAAATAGAAACTTCCATAGTATTAAAAAAGTGGGTCTACTAAATTTTATTATTTTTTTACAAAAACTCATGAGGCCTAAATGGAAAAATGTAATGAAATCACTAAACAAAAATAAAAATTTACAAACAGGATTTGTTATTATTTCAAAAAATTGTATTGGTTGTAACAAATCCCATACAGTCCCTTGCCACAACAAATACATCGTATGGCTCTTTTTTTCTTTTTCCTACCAATTTTGTGTCCAAATGACTGCAAACACAGCAGTTTCTTTTCCATTTTGACAGGGCCGGATTTAGCTTTTGGCGCCCCAAGGCCCAAGTAATTGTCCGCCCCCAAGTCTGGTCACAGTAGACAATAGACAATAGACAATAGACAATAGACAATAGACAATAGACAATTTAGTAACTTTTCCTTCAAACCTTTATTAAAAACTATATAATGCCTATAGGCCTATGGTAATTGCTTGAATACCACTCCATTAAATTTTATCATTGAAATTTTTTTGAAGAATTGATAAGTTTAGCAATAGCGTTAAAACAAAATGCCGTCTTAAACGTTTTTAGCAATTTTAAGTTTTTAGTAAATGCTCACGTTTGTGGGACTGAGACTGAAACAAAACAACTCAACCTACGGCCACAGATCATTCCTGCACAAAAACATGGTCATTGATTCCAATTCCAGGCCCAAAACATAAACTCCATACAGTACGTGATACCATAGATTAAACACACGCAGATTAAACACGCGCCTTTAGTAGATTTGTTATCCTTATTTATTAGCTGAAAACAATTATCGTTATTTAATCCTGGTTTTTCCAAATTAAAACAATCTAATCATAAACAATAAGTCGTCTCCTGGTTATATTACAAGAAATTAAAACACACATCATAGAACTACAAATAACCCTAAAATAATAGAAACAAAATCACGCCAACCAACATCCTTTGTCACCAACATGAACTAGGCATAAACAAAAATTTAGAATTAACAATGTGATAAAAAGTCTACTTGAGTTATGTTTAATCTATGGTGGTACTGCATCTAGATTATACGAGTATTTGCAAAATCAAAACAAAGCAATATTTGGCCAACCATCCTGATCCTTAGGTCTGAGCTTAGGAGAAAATGACAGCATTATTTTTGCTTTGGATGGTATTGAATTTTTCTAAAACCTATTGCAAACTTAAATAATATTTTTTCGTTAATTTTAAAGACAAATTTATATTTTTTTTAATATTTAACACAATGTATTATATATTTTAACTTGATCCTACAGATTGTTGTAAACTAATCAAAAGATAAGTTAATAACTTTTGTTTTGTGAGGTAAGGGTGGTAACAGTGTCTAGCACGTATGCGCCCCTAGTGATCAGTAGTGCCAAGCCGGTTATACGATGTGTACCGCTGGGGCGCTCGTCAACATCCCTACAACCTACTCCCGTAAAACCAATGTTCGTTACCTATTTTGTAACGAAATTGATTCGTAATGTTGAAAAATAGTTTAAATTTTCTAACAATTATTTCTTCTAATGAACTTCGAAATCAGAATGCTTTATTAGCCAGAGTTTTTTAAAATCAACTCCAAAATATGTTAAGAGCAACGAATATTTATTTTAATTTTAAGATATTTAAAAAATATTTTCCTCTCGGCTGTGCGCCCTCTGGGAGCTCGCCCATAGGCCATAGGCCCAGGCCTACCGGGCCTATTGGGAAATCCGGCCCAGCAGTATTTATACCGGTGTGAAGACAATGCCTCAATAATTGAAATAGTAAAATGCTTTCAGAGTAAATTATGTAAGCATTTAGCAGTATCGTATCCTTGCAAATATATTGAAGGCTTTTAATAATTGGGCTTAATAAACATTGGGCTGTTAATAAATGGTCCTGGACTCCTGGCTCAATGAAACATCTGATATTAGTTTGTAACTCATATTATATGTAACATATAAGATGCTAAAGAAATGTGTTTTTCAGGGGAAATAGCACGTGGGTTTTTAACAAAAGTCCCATATTCACCAGTTGCCAGAAAGCGAAATAAAAGACAAAATTTTCGAAGGAACCGCAAAGAGAAAAAAAGGAAAGCAAAAATGCAAGAAGCAGCAGCAGCTGCAGACCGACATGAAGAAATTGCAGATTACTTTGGTGATATTCCATCTTCATCTCAACAATCAGATTAACTCCACCTTTTGATGGGCAATACAGTGCAAATGTCTGAGTGAAGACTGATAAGCCTCAATGGTAGTTCCTATTGTGTAATAGGTTACCCAAACTATTAAAAGTGTGCTGCAATAACTTAATATTAAGTAATTAGTTGTTTTTGATTTAAAACACAATCAGTGACAAATGGACTTTTTTTTGTGTTTATTCTTGAAATACTAAACAATGAAATTGTATACATATATTAATACAAAAAGGTATAAAAATCGTGTATAACAGAATTGTACATCAATAAAAAGTCCTACTTGACATGTTTATAAAAACACTAGCAGTTGCCCATCGGCTTTGCCAGACATACTTTTGTTTTTTTTTTACTACTTGTGTTTACCAAAGTTCAGTTGTGACTACGGGCTAAAATGACCTTTTGCATTCATATTTAGTATGGTAACAGTTATTAAGGACTAGCTGGCTCGACAGACGTCGTCCTGTCCTAAAGTAGTTTTATGTCAATGCTCGTTCATTTCCAAGTTGAGCTCGTTCGCATGGCTCAATCACCTCTGGTTGAAGTTTGTTTGCTACGCTTACTCACCTTTAGGTTGGAGCTCGTTCGCTGCGCTCATTTGCCTTCATGTTAGCTCGTTCGCTACGCTAACTCGCCTCCAGGTTGAATTTTGCATTCACATTTAGTATGGTAACAGTTATTAAGGATTATATCCATTTGTATATATATAAATCACCTAAGCTAGTTAAACTTTTGGGACTTCTGAAGCCTGTTATTAGGAGCTTCAAACTACTTTCTCTGGAACAACGTACATAATGCAATGTTTTTACCACAAACTAGTGTACCTGTTGCTCGAATTCGAGAAATTGCTAAGTAGGCTTTTACAGGCGTTATTTTAAAACGAATAATAGTCATAATTTCTGATGACTTTAATAGATTTGACTCAAATATTATAGAAATACTCAAGATGTACAAACAGATCGATATGATCAACATTTCTTGTAAATAGTGTTTTCTACAATTTTTTTTTTTTTTTTTTAAAGAGGTTGGTGGCCTCTTTTAACCTTGCATTTGATGTACTCTTACTTTTAATTAAATATATGATTAATAAAACACCAAGTCAATGTAAAGACTTTTTAATACATCTTGAATCAGCATGTTCTACATTTTAGATGTTATACATTAGAGTACAAATTTAAGAAGAAGGACGATGATCTCTACGCAGAGAGACATCCCCGCTACTCAAGACTACCAACTACAAAAACAAAATAGTTGAAATAATATGAACTCATAACACTTCCCCTTTTAATAAAACAAACAAACAGTACATCTTACATGTGAAATTGAAATAAGTAAATTTTTTAAAAATCAACATAGCCTAACATTTTATTACAAATTCATCTTAAACATGTGAAATTGAAACAAGCACATTTTTAAAAATCAACATAGCCTAACATTTTACTACAAATTCATCTTAAACATGTGAAATTGATACAAGTACATTTTTAAAAATCAACATAGCCTAACATTTTACTACAAATTCATCTTAAACATGTGAAATTGAAACAAGTACATTTTTAAAAATCAACATAGCCTAACATTTTACTACAAATTCATCTTAAACATGTGAAATTGAAACAAGTACATTTTTAAAAATCAACATAGCCTAACATTTTACTACAAATTCATCTTAAACATGTGAAATTGAAACAAGTACATTTTTAAAAATCAACATAGCCTAACATTTTACAGTAGACCCCCTCTTAACCGACCCGCACTTGATGAAGAATCCAGTCACTTGTGTACTTTTAGTTCCCCGTATGGGTGCTATAGGTTCTTAAGACTTCCTTTTGGGTTAAAGGTAGCACCACAAATGTTTCAGAAACTAAATTCCCAGATTTTTTCTGACATCAATGGAGTAACTGTGTACTTTGATGACTTGCTTGTAGCAGCTGAATCCCTCGAGGAACATGATACTATTGTAAAAGAAGTACTAGGTAGGGCTAGAGCTAATAATGTTAAGTTCAACCCAAAGAAAATTCAATATAAGATGAATAAGGTGAATTTTTTTGGCCTATGCTTTGGCTCAGAGGGTGTACAAATAGATGAAAGTAATATTAAAGTTGTGTTAGAATTGCCGGAACCTACTAGCAAGAAGGAACTTCAATCCATGCTTGGCCTATTTAATTATTTTCGTGAATTCACCCCTCACATGTCTACCTTGACCAGTCCCTTGCGTGAATTGTTAAAAAAAGATATTGAATGGTCTTGGTTGCCTGTTCACTCAGAGTGTGTAAATAAGTTAAAAGAAGCAATAACGTCAGCGCCTGTTTTGACGACTTAGGATAGTTCTAAGCCGGTTGAGGTCCATTCTGATGCTAGTAAAAATGGTCTTGGATGCTGTATAATGCAATGTGGTAGGCCAATCTCGTTCGCTTCTCGCAGTATGACATATACCGAGCAGCAGTATGCTCAAGTGGAAAAGGAATTACTTAGTATCGTATTTGCTGTTACTAGGTACCACTTTAAGACTATGCTTACCTTTAAAACAACCTAATCCTGAAAAAACATCTGCATTTTGGTGAACAAAACTCTCCTTCGTCAACTCTTCGACAGCATTTACCCTTTTTATGAGACCTAGTTTAACACAAGTCCCAAGTCCAACAATCGGGATACTTTTGAGATTGTTTACGATTATGAAGTCTTCCTTAGTTGTAATGTTTTTATATGTCCAATTTAGACTGAGCACAACCAAAAGTGTTTAGTAGAAAGCCACCAAAAGATTCCAATTTTACATTAGATTTGACTACAAAGTCCAATAACTCAGAGTCAATTTGTTCAACAACATGTTTAGGTAAAATGTTGATTTCAGCTCCGCTATCCAGCTTAAAGTTAATGTTTTGTCCATTAATACACAAGTTTTCAAACCAAGCAAGTTTACATTGATTGTTAGATATGGAATCAATCCTAAACTCTTCATCGTCATACACCAGTACATCATTAACTTGTTTAGGCCTATTATTCTTATTTTTAAAACAGCCTACAGAGAAGTGATTCATTTTACGACATAAGTGACAAGTTTTACCATAGGCTGGACACTGAGCTGCTTGATGTTTGGTGTTACATTTTTTACACAAATATTCAGTCCTAGTCTGTGAATCAAAATTTTGCTTACCGTTACCACTTGAAGGCCTATTGAAATTCGAACTTTTACTACCCGTGAGAGAGTACTTTTTAAATTTATTATTGTTCGGACATCTTGAGTTACCACGACCCACACTATGGACTACATTCTCCGTCTTTATACCTTGGGAATATGTACTAGATGATTGTACAGGACTACACTCTAGGCCAACTAAGGCCTTGTCTTTCGAAATGCTCGAAACATGCTCTCGGCTAGCTTCAACTAACCTACAAAACTTGATTGTGTCTTCTAATTTTAAATCGGTTTCACGAAGGAACCTTTCTTGTGTTGACTGGTCATTAATGCCCATTACAATCCGGTCACGAATCATATTATCTTCTTCACTCCCAAACTCACAGTAGATAGCCAACTTTCTAAGGTCAGTAAGGAAACTATTAAAGGGCTCCCCCAGACCCTGAGATCGCTTGTGAAACAAATATCTTTGATAGACAACATTAGATTTTGGGGAGAAATGTTTATCAAAAGCACTCAAAACATCTTTTAATTTTAATGTGGACACTTCCCCCAGTTTAAACAAGAAAAATATTGATAATGCATCAGGTCCAATCGCATTCAGCAGTTGAGCTACCTTTACATGGTCACTTTTAGCATCGGCCTCAGTGGCCGTTAGAAACAATTGAAATTGATTTTTAAAGAGAGTCCCACCGAAACATTGTCATCAATATTTAGAGGCTTGGGAGGCTTAAAAGACATCTTAATTGAATTTTTAAAACGGAACTTGCAATCCTGAACATGTGAGGTCGACTAGGCCTACACACCATTTTTAAGTCCTATAAAACACACTCGACTTATTACCTTGGGAGCGTTGCTTCTTCAGACTGCGCCATGATGTACTCTTACTTTTAATTAAATATATGATTAATAAAACACCAAGTCAATGTAAAGACTGCGTTTAGGCATTTGCCCGTCCACATAGACTACAGATCTGTGCGTGGAACGTATCCAGCAAAGCAAGGGGTGAGCCGGTACAGTACAAAGGTGAACTGTACTGATAAAAGTTAGTAGCAGTGACCAGGATCCGAACCCACGACACTACTGCCTTGGGCCCGAAGTCCGTGACGCTACCGATTGAGCCACCGACTCACCAATATGTATTAGCCTGACTGTATTAGCCTTAATCATAGCCGCATTAGGTTGTCCATAATAACGATTATAAAAAAAAAACATTATTTATATTTCTTCTCCTTGGTGATGTTCTATGACTTTCCTATGTTTCCATAGTTTTCAAATCGGCTCTTTCAATGATTACTAAGAAATGCAGTACAGTGTTAATTCAGTTTTCTTTTTATTTTATCAAATTACCCAGGCTCTCTAGCTTTTTTCCATTGTATTATTTACTCAAACCCAAATTCAAATAGTAAATATTTCATTTCAACCAAGTCAGTAAATGTTTGTAGCAAACTCCTCGTTCCCACTACCACCCCTGGCTTAAGTCTGGGACTTATTTGCCAAGCCAATTCCCTGTGAAAATCGTCTTTCTTTTTTAGGCTTTAGCCACTTTCAATCCTTGTACAGGCACCTTATGGGTCCATAATGTTTTTACCACAAATTATATTTCTAAGTTTTGTTAGAGGATTTAGACAGTTACTTAGAGCCAATGTATGTTAAAGTATATTAAAATTAAAATTATTTTATAGTAGACAAATTCCTTCATTACAACCTAAACCTCTTTAAGTATAACTAAATAATGTGTTTGAACTATATTAAGTTTGTTTTGGGGAATTATGCCAAAAGATTTACATTTAAGAGCTTTAAATAACTTGAAACATAAGTATAAATCAAGATGTTTAAAAGAAAGATACCGTAGCAGTATCACTGGATCCTTGAAAGTGAACTAAAAAAAAATAAAACACTAGGAGAGCTTAGCAAAGCTCTAAAATAAAATTGTCTTTTTAGTTACCATTCGTCCCTCTGCTAGACCACAAGCTTTAAAATGACACTTAATTAGTAAAAATTGGTTAGGTAGGGTGGGTGAAAAAGGGATGTTGCAGAGAAACCCTCTATTGTATTAAGTAGCCATTATTATACAAATTTTACCATAAGATTTCTTAATGCTATAAATTATCTCAGTAACAAGAGCATCACCATTAAATTACAACTATTATTAAATAACTGACAGGATAATAGCAACACAATTTTTTTTTAACAGTATGTTATAGGAATTTAGACAAAATGACACTGTAATAAATATCAAACAATTTGTTCTTCTGCAGGAATCCGAAATGCAGATCGGAACTGTACGCCAGACAATGGCCCTCTGAGTTGTACTCCTTGTCTAGCTGCTCTCCTCATGTAGCCACTTAGGTTGAAGAACTCTCTCTCAGCTTGTTCTACAGTCAGGGACATGGGCAGTCTACCACTGGATGGTACATGGTGGTAGACATAGAACATGTAGCGGTGGAGGCCTGTCCCTGCAGGTGGCGCTGGGCCCTGGTAACCTAGTGTCACAACCGTATTTGCAATCTTTTTCATACCCTATGTGACAAATTTAGGACAGAAAACTGATTTTGACCATCAAGTCTTAGTAAATCTATATCTATCTATACTATTATCCTACTATAAAGAAGAAGTGGCGTTAGTATGTCTGTATGTCTGTGCAGGCCCGTTTTTGACCCTGTCAGCGTCCTAGGCATAACTAATAGTAGCGCCCCTTTGCAATATATATACAGAGTGTCCACCGACCAGGAAAACTGGGAATCCGTGAATTATGCTTAAGTTTTTTTGAGCCGGGAATTATGCGTAAATTTTGTATATCCAACTGGAATTTTCAATTTACCGCCATCACCAATGACAACAGTGACGTTTCCGTGACCGCGGGAGACGACAATATGTCTACACACGGCCGCGAGGGATTATCATTATTTTCCGCTTTCGCAGAAGACAATGATATCTACAGAGCCGCGATGCGACGTATGATCAGAATATTGCCGCGATCACGTAAGGCAATAATAATGTCCACCAGGAACGCAGGAAATAGCAAGAATTTAGCAGCGATCGCAGAAGACGACGATGATCGCCACATTGCTGAGGGATATGATTAACATTTTGTCGCAATCGCGGGAAACAATAATTACGATGTCTTCACGACTGTAGGAGACGATTACGATATCTACAGGACCACGGGAGATACAATAATGATTTCTAGACGGCCGCTAGGGATGATCAGAATTATGCCGCTTATACAAAAATTATACAAAAAAGGCAATTGCCCTGCGCCCTAGGCACGTGCCAACCATACCTATTCGGTAAATCGGCCCTGGTTTTGTGTCATAGACGATGACTCATCGACTGCTGTAACGTTGATTGGAACGAGTGGTGTTGAAAAATTATTGTGTCGAGGGAAACTAATGATGATTTAAAAGTAACCTCATGAATATTTTGACCTCTGTCTCAAACGTCATTATATACAGTCTATACGGAAATGTCGGATATCAAACTTGGGCTCGGTTCAATTAATTGGCCCTGTGTCTGTGTGTTTCTATGAGCTAAACTCAAAAACTACTAAACCGACTGGGCTTAGATTGGACAAAAAAAGGATGCATATAGAATTATTCCTGCTTCAATTTTGACCTAGTACTCTACCCCGCTGGCTTTTAAAGTTCTGAGGTGAGAGTTTTAAAAGTAAATATTGATAGGTCTCCATGGTAAAAAAAAAACAAACAAACATGTAAACAAGCAGAACTGTCAGATAAATTTTGATTTCACATTTCCACACAGTTGGTTTAAACATATTAAATAGGCCTACTGCAGGAATACTAGAACAGGAAGGGTATGGATCATATAAACATAAACAATGATGTTAATACCATTAGTATAGGACTCTTTCAGTTACCGTACCACATTTGTTAATGTTTATGATTTATAATAAGCGTGTTCTAACATTTGTGAAATGCTGTAATAAGATTTTACTGGGAATAAGTCACTGTAAAATCAATTATTCATGGATATAGGAAATAATTAAAATTCTATAATCATTACCGTATCAACCTAGGACCCTGAGTGTAATAAGAGTAAGAATGAATGAAAAATAACTTTGATCACCTTTAGAAAGGTTTTTAATAACTTGAACAATACTACATTGAATTATAATGGATTTGTTTACAAACACATGTTTTTTTACTACATTCTTCTTCCATAATGTTAATGAACGTAGTCATTTAAATAATTAGGAGGTCTTCTGCTTCTGAAACTTCTTCTCGGATATGTGTTATGGTTCTCTCCTCTAGAAGCTTCTTGTCTAGGTTGTAAATTCTCGGCAGTAGTATTCATTTCATCTTCTTGATTCTGTGTTGATGATGGACTAGGAAAGTATTAAAGTTCAGGTTGAGAAGTGGCTAATAGAGTATTTTCATCACTCTCAAAATCGGTTTGCTCAATGTCGGTTTGGTACTCACCAACCGGAGCAAGATGATGTGTAGACACGGTAGTTTATCTTCCATCAGGCAACTTAACATGAGCATACTCGGCATTCCCGTGAAGAAGTTGGACCTCTTCAACAAGTGGCTCATATTTGGACGTACGATTGAATCTCTTCAAGTAGACAGGGCCGGAATTGAGAAGCCATGAAGGAGCTGAAACACCATTGTTCCCAGATCTACGTGGATGTAAGAACATACGCTCGTGAGGAGTTTGATTTGTGGCTGTGCAAAGTAATGATCTCACTGAGCTGAGGGCATCCTCTAAAACTGTCTCCCATTGGTTTATTTCTAAGTTAAGTGATTTCAATGCCAGTTCAATTGTTTTCCATAGAATGCCGTTATACCTTTCAACTTGCCCATTACCTGCTGGATTGTACGCAGTGGTTCTACTAGTTGAGATTCCGAGTGAGTTCAAGTAGCTTTTTAAGTCTTGGCTCAGAAATGATGTTCCTCTGTCCGAATGTATGTAACTAGGAACCCCAAAAGTAGAAAATAATGTTTTTAGATCCGACTTGACTGTTGACGATGACATGTCTGAACACGGGAAAGTGAAAGGGAACAGTGAAAACTCGTCTACTATTACTAATAAGTAACGGTTTTAACTTGATGAAGGGAGCGGGCCTTTGAAATCCATATTCAGCCGTTCCAATGCAGAAGTGGCTTTAATCAAAATCCCTTTGTGTTTGAAGAATCTAGGCTTCACAGCAGCACACACATTACAGGAGTTTGTTATTCGTCTGATTTCATCAATCTAGTAGGGCAAGTTCTTACTCCGAACCCAGTGGTACAAACGTGTCACACCTGGGTGACATAGATTCGCATGTAAATCAATCAACAGTTTTTCTTGATTTTGGATTGAAGAACATACTCTAGTCAGGGCATCTGCAGCCATATTATCTTTACCGGGTCTATATACAATATCATAATGAAAGCACGACAATTCCAGTTTCCACCTCATTATCTTTTCATTTTTCACTTTGCCATGATGGTTGTTATCGAACATAAAAGAAACCGACCTCTGGTCAGTAATCTGCTTGAAATGTTTACCAACCAAATAGTGACGCCATTTCCGCAGTGCTTCCACAATAGCTTGTGCTTCTTTTTCGACACTTGAATGTCTTTGTTCTGCTGGAGAAAGTATCCTTGAGAAGAATGCGACTGGACGGTTTGATTGAGTCAAAGTAGCAGCAATGGTACTCTCAGATGCATCAGTTGAAATTAGCTGGTTCAGTCTCAGCTGAAACTCTTTGCCATACCATGAACAATGAGTTAGGTTGTTCATTAATTGTTTTGACCATGCACATTAATATTTCCTTTTCCTCCTCTTCTCCAAGGAATAATTCGCTGCGAACTGTGCTTACTCCACAATGGTCAAGATTGTAACTGCAAATGTTGTTGAAATTTGCTTAGTCTGCAGGTTTGCTGCGGCGGGGGTATTATAGATCTGTGATCTTCACCATCCTATCTGGTAACATTTCCAAGGTACACTTCTGTACACCTTGTCTACAATTCTTGTATGCTCACTGGAGGCATTATACTTCCAATTGCCACTTCTAATTACTCTGTAGGCTGCCATCCTTGCCCCCCGCCTTTCACAATGATGTCAAGAGGTGGCAGGTTTAGTTCTACTTCCAGGGATCCAGTTGGAGTGCCTCTCATGGCTCCTGCGATGCTAAGGCATGCCTCGCTGGATCTTTTGTAGTCTCTTTACAGCGGTAGTTTGCATTACCATGGTCCACCAGACCACCGAGAAATACACCATCATCGGTCTTGCAACCTTATTTTATAGCTAGTTAGTCATCTGTGGGCTTAGACCCCAGGTCTTCCCAACAGCACGTCTCATCATCATAAGTGTGGTCTGAGAGTGTTGTGTTATATGTGCCAAATGGTTGTTCCAGGTGAGCTTGTCGTCCAGCCTTATTCTTGAACTTGTACTCCTTCTTAGCCTGGATCTGATTACTGAAGAGAGTTGGTACTCTAGCGATATCAAAATTTATCTTCCTTGTAAATGGTGCCATTACAGTCTTCATTGGATTGGCTCTCAGACCTTCCTGGTTACACCACCTTTCCACTATAGACAATGCCCTCTGCATGAGTTTGTTTCAATACGCAACAACCAAAACTGTACAACCAATGTAAATTTGAACTTAAAATATAAGGTATAACCTAAAGAATGCTATAGTTCGGCCGATTAGAAAACGACCTGCGCGCTAATGCTAAACCAATGCTGGAGGAGGTCGCTTTCTAAGCGGCCGAACTATAGTTTTTAAATGTTCCCAACTGCAATAAAGAAATATTTTACTATCTATCTTTAATCTTCTCTTATAATAATTCTTTATTAATAGTTTACACAACAATCACGTACGGATTGTCTTAACGGCACGAGTAGACTATTTAATTAAGGTACGAGCCTTGGCGAGTGCCTTTAAAACTTCAACGAGTAAGAAAACGATAAAGTATGTAAACAATACTGCAAGGTGAAATTTTAATTCCAACAACTGAATTGATAAGGCTTGTTTAAAAAATTTTCTTGGATAAAAATATTTGTAGGCCCAACAGTACTACTAAAGCTAAAGTTCTACTGGACTGACTTTATTAATTAATGGGTTGTTGGAAAGCTTCATCCGTGTAGATTTGCAAATAATTATGAAAGCTTGATTTTATTAAAGGATTTATGGTAGCAATTAATAGGTTTGCCGGTTTGAATCATCTGATCATATGGAAAAAGTGTTCATAATTTAACAGCTTATTATTTTAGACCTAAGGTTATTTCCTTGAATTTTCATTGTTTAAATTTTTTACATAAAGTATATTTTTATAATTTACTTTTTTTAGATACCATTTTATTTAACCACAACGGACTCTGTTATGCAAGCTAAAAATAATTAGTCTTTGCAGTGTAGCGAAAAGCAATGTTAAAAACACGAGTAAAAGTGTAACATTACGTCATATTCAAATCAAATCAAATCTCTTTATTGCCATTAAGTATATACATTTATACAATAGGCCAAGTCCAAATT